GGTTTTCTAAAGAGCATAAAGAGAACAGCCCATTTCATTCTCTGCTTCTTTAAATGCATCATTTATCATAACTGAAAATAATAAAGGAGGGGCTCTCCTCATCCTCCACAGAAGGTCCAAGCACTTCTGGACCCTTTGGACCAGTGAGGTGGTGTTTCCAGTCCATGTCGGCTCTGCACCGTTCTTTGCAATATATAATCCTTTAGCAAGTGTTGCACTGAGTCCACTGCTCATTCCTTTAATGTTAAGCCTCTCTTTATATTGCTGCCTCTCAGTCTGATGGTTGCTTTCAACATTGCTGCTAATTCTTCTTTGTTGATATTCAGTTGCAGCTTCTGATAGAAATGAGCTTCCAACCTTAAAGCACTTGGTGATAAATATGGTGAAGTGCTTTAGAAATAAAGGAGTTCTTGTTTCTTTCTGTCACAGAGCTCTTTTATTATTTTTAGTCTTTATTTCAATAGATTTCTGAAACCTTCCTTTCATTCTCCTTTAACCTCATCATGGTTGTATGCATGCGTATTACTAAGAAACTTTTCTTTTTCCCTGAAATGTTTCCCATCTTTTCCCTCCATCCCTTCAGCTTCACTCATATGCTGAGGAGGCAGGAGTTCTTGGTGTCAGGAGGCAGACCAACCTGGTCGCCTCTCTGCCTGATATCTCATTGATCGATGAGGATGATGAGGATGATGAAGGCTACTTTGGCAGAAGGTAGAAGCATCGAACAGAAGGTCTAAGAGCTGATGTGCTTCTGTGAAACATGATTTATTCAGTGCAGTAGAAAATATTCACACCCTTTATATTTTTCTCACATTTCTTGTCTCATTTTCTGAAAGTTCAGTGTTTGATTGGGACTACAGGTCATAAACCGTCCCATAGTAGTGCTTCATAAAAGAGAAATATCTTGTTTGTTTTTTTACTAAATGAGGTTGAAAAAGTGCAGCGAGCATTAATGTTCAGACCTCTGTACACTGATACCCCTAAATGAAACTGAAGACAATCTATTGCCTTTACAAATCACCGTTTCAGGAAATAGTCCACCTGTTGCAATTTGAGCTTAGAATAAAAGAGGAGGTTCTGGAGGAGCTGCAGAGATTCTCAGCTCAGGTGGAAGAATCTGTGACGAACATGATAGTCACTTCCCCTTCACTGCTTTGCTCTGTTGTAATAAAGTCAAATAAATTTATATCCAAGCTTCATATTTGAAACGTGACAAAATGAGAGAAAGTTGAGGTGAAATAAAACTGATGATTTATTAACGTTCTCCTGGAATGTTTCCACTAGATGGCAGCAGATCCCCACCTGAGCTACATCTTTTTATGCTTTGCTTCATGTTTTACTCCAGCTGCTGCTAGTGGGGCTCCTCCACCTCCCCCATCTGGGCCAGCACTGCAGGGAACATTTTCCTCCATAGAGCAGATAAAAGAGAGGAGAGGAAGAAGAAAGATGAGCAGATGGTGGAGGTTTCAAGGCCTGCAGAAATCCCCAGAATGCTGGACGTCCTAAAGGACAAAGACAAGGTGAAGCTGCAGTCAGTGAAAAGGTTTGTCTCTCACACTCACATACATACAGCTCTTCAGCCTAAGTTCGCTTCATCGGATTTGAAAAACCAGCGGACAGGAAGGAAGCGACAAAGAAGACTGGAAGGTTGTCGTCCCAGAAGCCAAAGCTCCAACTGAAACCCCTCTGGTGAGACGCAGGTCTGCAGCCTTCTGCTTCTCAGCTGGAAGGTGAATATTTAGAACATTTGTTGAAGAGCAGATTGTTGATCTGCTTTGTTTTGTTTTCTTCAGTTTGAGCAGCAGATGCTGAAACCAACCTGGAAGAAAAGGTTCCTTTGACCAGGAGAAGCTGAGCTGCTGATCCAGGATCTCTGTGGACTCTTAGAAGCGACTCCTTTATGCTGATCCTCTCTGACCTAACCTGCTGGACCAAATATTCATCATCTCAGAGAATCCATGATGTGGATTTATTTGCACTTTTTGTAACTTTTATCCTCTTTATATTCTACAAACAGGATTTTAATTTGAACATAAACACTAATAATTAGTGTTAACTTGTTGCACATTGAATGGGTGATCAGATCTGTTCTGGAGGAGCAGAATGAACTCATTGAACATAGAGGGACTATCAGACGAAAAGATTTGCTAAAGTATTTTACACTGACTTGGAGAAGTTATTTATCTTGTCAGTTTAGCTTGATGCTGTCATTTTGTTTTTAGCATTTAGTGCTGCTCTATATGAATGTTATACCAGTTCATTTTTATTTTTGCCTTTTTAAAACCCAAAGGCGTTCCACTGATTTCTCGCAGCATTGTTTATTTTATTAAAGTTCTTCTCTGTTATAAAGGAAAGCCTCCTTAGATTATATTTTATATTTGATGCTGTAGTTCCAGGAGCAGAGTTTAGTCAGTACCTACCTCTGGGTTTTAGAGTTGAAGGCACAAAGATGATGATTCTAGTCCAGCTTTAAGAAAACCATCAGTTGTCATGGTGACTGTGGTTTAAACTGACATTTTAAGGCATTTTGTTGAGTTTTTGCTCCATTTCTCAGGATGGTTTCACTCTATAGCTGATTATTTAAATCCTTTTTTCTAGGGAAGAAAAGGTGGTCATTAAAATGTCATTTTTATCTGCAGACTTCTCTAACTAATTGCATTTCATTTTAATAAAAGTGTCTCCTGACTCCCTGTGCTTCTTTTTTGTGCTGAATCATGTCTTTTAGTAAATGTTTGACCAAAGGAAAAATTATATTGAACAGTTTCTAATTCAAATTATCGTTTTCTGATGTGTGTAATTTTACATGTTCTATTTCCACATTTTGTAACGCTAAAGCCACATACTTCCTCGTATTTAAATGAGATTATTTGCAAAGGATCCAATTGCTCTGTAGGTATGGAAGCAAATTGTTACCATATTTAAAATGAAAAAGCATTTCCAGAAATGCTTTTTCATTTTAAGAATGTGGCTGCATTGTTTCGCTCATAAATGAAATTAGTAATCAATAATCCTGTTTGCATTTTCTTCTTTAAGACATTTTATGCCATAATCAAGGAGAAAACACTGCGGACATTGCTTTTTCGTTTTCATGGTCTGCCAGCAAAGTACTGTCCATAACTCGGAAACAAAAAGCATTCTGAGCAGCGGGGGCAGCAGAGTGACGTCAGCAGCTCTTCCTCAGGTCCTTGCTGACCGGGTTACCGGTCTTGTTCAGTAGGGGACGCTGTGCAGAAAAAGCATTTCTGGAAATGCTTTTTCATTTTCAACTTTTACATTTCAAATAGAATTTTGGTATGTATATGCTGGGGTACATTTGGAAAATAAACCTCAAATGTATTTTTCTTTTTAGTTTTAATTAAGTAAAATGATGAGCGGTGTTGAGGAAGATGATGAAAATGCAAACAGGATTATTAATTACTAATTTCATTTATGAGTCAAACAATGCAGCCTCATTCTTAAAATGAAAAAGCATTTCTGATCACAGTTTTTCATTTTAAATATGGTAACAATTTGCTTCCATATGTAGGTTTGTAAAATGGTAGGAAATGCCAAATGGCTTTTAAAATTCTTCTCAAACCAATATCAGAAGTGCCTGAAGTTTATATTTGCCTCCTTTATTGTAGGACCAGGAAAACATCTAAACATTTAACCCTTTTCTCTTTAATTAGGCGTATTTAGAGTTGTTTTTAAGAATAAGGATCTACTCATTTGGCATGTGAGCGGGAAAATTAGAAGGTGAAAAAAGGGCTTCTTTTCTAAGGTTTAGATGAATTGCATTATAAATTCAGTTTGTTTTTACATATTTAGGCTAAAAGCGTTCAGTAACACAATCTGACCCTGCAGCATAGCTCACCATCCATAGCATCTCTCTGCAGTCATGAGGCAACGATTGTATAAATGAATGTCCACATCTTTTAAAGACTGAAATGAGGGTAAAGATTTCAATCAAAATGTTCCCAATTATAATTGAACACAATTCCCAATAATATAAGGTTTTAATGTCAAATTGCTTTAATAGAGCCCAATTTCTGGATGACCGATTGCTAACCTGTTGACAGATTATTCCACCTGAGCTGTAGATCTCTGCAGCTCCTCCAGAGTAAAGCTATGAAACACTGAATTCTTCAAGGGTTTGCAGCAGAAATTTCCTCCATCCCGACGTTAGCATAAGCTGGCTCAGGAGCTGGGATTTATCTGTTCAAGCTGCAGCTCCGTACGTCTCCGTATCGTTGGGCAAGACAACTGCACTTACCTGATGTTACCACCAACATCCATCAATGTCTGCTCTGTTCCTGGGTTTTCCTGTCGGGTTATTTCTAGAATGTTCTCTAACAAACCTCAAGGCTTCACACAACAGGTGGAGCGTATCGACACATTAGGTTAACTCTGAAAGCAACAGGTTGCACTGGGATTCATTTAGATGCATCGGAGTAAAGAAAACAAACATGGCAATTTGCTTTCTGAAAACTGTCCCTTTTATCCATAATAAAGAGTTTATGTGAAGATGCATCACAGGAAATCCAAACTAGATCTTAGAAGGGTACATAAATACCTGCACACTCATGGGAAATTCAACAACAGGTTTTATTACTCAAATGGTAACTGCAACAGGCATGCATCAAAAAGGTGAATACAGCAAAGCCTTTACAAAAACTCTGCTCGACTCGGAAGTCTTTCCCAAAAAATATCTGTTGCAAAAATTGTAGACAGTTGTGTCAACAGCCTTAAAGTATGGTTTGGATATTTTAATGTAGATCTACTTAACTCAATTAACCATAAACGTCCTGAAGAGTTCATTAATACCATCTACAGTTTGAGCCTTTTCCCCAAAATCACTAGACCCAGCTGGATCACACTTAACGGTGCCACTTTAATAGAAAATATATTTACTAATATCTTAGATAACAATAAGTTAAGTGAATCAATAGTTCAGCAAATTAGTGATCATCTTCAAGTCTTCATTGTCAGCGACAATTTCTCTATAAAATAATGATGAAAGTAATCCAGTTTAAAACAGTAAAGACAGAGGAATCACTGAAGTCTTTCAAAGATGATTATGTTGAAACATAACTTGGAGTCTGTTTTGCAAGATGTCGATATAGCATATAATTAATAAAAACTTCCATTAATAATATTCTCTCATAAAAACAAATAGAAGTTTAATGGATCACCAAGGGTTTGCAAAAAGCCTGAAAAATAAAAAGAACAAACTATAAAGAGATCTCACAAGTCTTTGGATGTAGAGAATGAATATAAGAATAAATTAACTGCTATTCTACTAAGAGCTAAACAGGATTATTGCAGTAAATTATTGGGTAGAAATAAGAATAATATCAAAGGGATTTGGAATTTATTCAATAATTTTATCAAGAAAATCTGGAAAAAGGAAATTTCCAGTTTTTGTAAACAATACGATTATAATTATAATTTCAATAAATATTTTGTTAGTGTTGGACCCAAACTGGCAGAAAATAATCCTGGATCCTATAACAACTGGATCTTTGAATGAAACATTAATCAACAGAAATCCTTGTTCACTGTTTCTCACTGCTGTGAGAGGAAGGGAATGGTCAATAAATGTAATAAGAGGTCGACTGACTGCGATGGCACCGATATGACCGTACTTAATAAGGTCATTTCAGTCGCGTAAATTTACAGAAAATATGAAAAGTCTCAAGTTATTCCACTTTATAAATGTGAGGACAGAAAGCATTTCACAAATTATAGGCCTGTTTCTCTACTTCCAGTTTTCCAAAATTCTGGAGAAATTATTTGTGGATTAGATACATAGATTAATAAATATAAGTTGATTTGTGAAAGTCAGTATGGATTTAGATGGATTTTAGTTTATGTTGTTAGGAAACTGCGAAAGTAAAACAAATATACATATCCTGAGAGATAATGTGACAGTAGAAACAGTTAAGGAAATTAAGTTATTGGGAGTAATGATAGACACTAAGATTTGCTGGAAATCACATAAAAAACAGCCAAACAAAATATCCAGAAGTATAATATTTGTATTTAGATAAAGAACCTTTATCTCCAAATTGTCTTGTGCCTAAAAACCCATCAGGAGGTTCAGTGAATCTCCCTAATAAAGTTCAAAAACATGAAGTAACATGATCCATAAACTGCTGCCGTCCCTCTGTAGTCTAGTTCAAAACAGCTCCTGCAAACATCAGTTGGCTTAAAAATGGGAACTACAGAACTAATTCTTTTAGAATAGGTATATATATTAGGGTGAGCATATTTAGATTTCCATAAAGAGGACACTTTGCCCAGCCTCCAGACGGATTCAGACAGGCTTCTCAAAGGTTCATCAACAGCTTTATTATACCTAAATGATACAAAAATAACCTTTGTAGTTAAATCTGTAACAACCAATTACACAATTAGAGCTCTCTATTAAAATACATAAATAAAATCATTTTCTAAATATGTCCTCTTCTATATTAGAAAATACAGCTTCAACAAATATTCTAACAAAGTACTCAGTCAACTTTGCAGAATAACTCTCACCTCTCAGAGCTTTGTCAGGTTTTTCAGTGTCACTGTGAGCTTTGAGATCTCCAGCACCTTTATTAGACACTTATTACATAGAATCAGTGGTATAAACGAGGTTAAAGTTCATTTCAATCATAGCAGGTAAAATATAACATCCAAAGAATCAAGATCAAAACTATTAGAAGTATTTCAAAGGAAAATTATACTTTCAAAGAATCATTAAAAAACATTAATCAGCTAATAGTAAGCTGAGAATGACACACTTATATACGTCCCAAATCTTCATCTGAGACTTCAGGTTTAGAATATAACATCTAATCTGTTCTAGTTTCTATGTAATGTGTTTCCAAATAATGTCTTTCTTAAAAACTTTACTCCAAAAAGACCATTAACCCTTGATTTTCTCATGCAACCAGGTGAAGCAGTTTCTAGATTGACATTTTATCACCAAAAATGGAAAACGCCTCAACTGCTCCTTCCTGTGGCGTCTAACTGCTGTTACGACTTCGCTGAATGATTCGCTGTCACAAATCATTCAGGAGAACGGCTTCTCACCTTGGTGAATTCTCGTGTGAGATGTTAAATGACTCTCATCAGTAAACTTCTTGTTACAAATGGTACAGGAAAAAGGTTTCTCTACTGAGTGAATTCTCATGTGTCTATCAAGATTAGACTTCTGAGTGAAGCTTTTTCCACAGAAAAGACATACAAAGGGTTTCTCACCTATGTGAATTCTCATGTGTGTATCAACACTAGATTTCTCAGTGAAGCTTTTTCCACAGGCCAAACATACAAAAGGCCTCTCAGCTGAGTGAACTCTCATGTGTTTAGTCAAATTACTCTTGTCAGTAAAAGTCTTGTTACACATGGTACAGGAAAAAGGTTTCTCACCTGTGTGAATTCTCATGTGTTTATCAAGATTAGACTTCTGAGTGAAGCTTTTTCCACAGAGAAGACATACAAAGGGTTTCTCACCTATGTGAATTCTCATGTGTGTATCAACACTAGATTTCTCAGTGAAGCTTTTTCCACAGGACAAACATACAAAAGGCTTCTCACCTTTGTGAATTCTCACGTGATAAGTCAAATTACTCTTTTCTTTAAAATTCTTGTTACATATGGTACAGGAAAAAGATTTCTCACCTGTGTGACTTCTCATGTGTCTGTCAAGATTAGACTTCTGAGTGAAGCTTTTTCTGCAGCACAAACATACAAAAGGCCTCTCAGCTGAGTGAACTCTCATGTGAGAAGTCAAACTACTCTTGGCAGTAAAAGTCTTGTTACAAATGGTACAGGAAAAAGGTTTCTCACCTGTGTGAATTCTCATGTGAGAAGTCAAATGATCCTTTCGAGTAAAATTATTGTTACAAATGTCACAGGAATAAGGTTTCTCACATGTGTGAATTGTCATGTGTCGAATCAAATTATGTTCTCGACTAAATTTTTTGTTACAAAGGGTACAGGAAAACGGTTTCTCTCCTGTGTGAATTCCCATGTGTCGAGTCAAATGATGTTCTTTAGTAAATATTTTGTTACAAATGTTACAGGAAAACACATTCTCACCTGTATGAATTCCCATGTGTCGAGTCAAATTAGTCTTCCCATTAAAAGTTTTGTTACAAAAGGTACAGGAATAAGGTTTCTCACCTGAGTGAATTCTCATGTGTCCAGTCAAATGATGTTTTAGAGTAAAACTTTTGCCACAAATCGAGCAGGAAAAAGGCTTCTCTCCTGTATGAATTCTCATGTGTGTTTCAAGATGATGTTTATAAGTGAAGCTCTTTCCACAGGACCGACATTCATAAATCTTCTGACCTGTGTGAGATTTCACGTGAACCATAACATTTTTCTTTTTTAGAAAGTGTTCTTTCCGTGTCAAACATGGGGACAGTTTCTTTCCTTTATCTTTAGCCTGTTGCTGCAGAACAAGCTGCTCTTCCTGCTCACCTATGGGGAGCTCCATGGTTTCCTCTTTTGTCCAGGGATGTTCTGGTTCTTTCTGTTCTTCTTTTATCTGCAGAGCTTCTGGTTCCTCTTGGTCCAAACTGGAATTCCTCTCCTGTTCATAGAGCTGCTGGTCAGAGAAATCCTCCTCTTTCCCAACATAATCCTGAAGGCGGTCTGAAAGACAAACAGCAGAAAGACTTTCTATTACAGGTTGAAGAAAGGACACCTCACTTTAATCATCCTCATGCTGATATAAACAGAGTGGACCTAAATCTTGCAGAATGCACTGCAGCTGTGATGTTAAAATCACAGGTGATAAAAGACCAGTCACTGCTCTACTGTCAGCCACTTTTATCATCAAAGCTGTAGAGTCTATCCGGACAGACAATCTAGTTGTAAATTCAGTTTTAAAATTATTTTATGTTGATTTTTGTTTTCCTCCTTCAGAATCAAAAATTGTTTTTTAGAGCGAAATAAAATGTTTCTGAACAACCTGTATAGCTGAAGTAGCTTCACAGATGTTCATCTACCTTCATGGAAACAACAGTTTTCTGTGTTGAGTCTGAAGATCTTAAGATCCAACAGCTATTCATTAGTCAGATGAACTTCCAGAGATGTAAGACTTGTTAACTGCTTGTATGTGGAGGCTTCAGGTCCTCAAACAGGTCTGGTGTTTACCAGTGGATTTCAAAAAAATATCCACTGGACTTGGTTTCCAAGATTTGAAGACGTTTCGCCACCTCTCCAAAAGCTTTGAATTGAGAAAGCTTCCTGGAGAGGTGGTGAAACCTCTTCAAATCTTGGAAACCAAGTCCAGTGGATATTTTTTTGAATTTTTACGGAATGACTATGACCTGGATGACTGAGAACCTTCATCAGCACAGCACATCTGGAGGTTTCAAAGCAGCATAGCCCCGCCCACAGGACACTGAGGCTAATTGCTGCTAACCTCAGATTGATGCAGTGGCCATTTCTGTCATTTTCTGCTGCCTTCTAGCTTTTTATTAGCCTGGGTCCCATTCCGAACTTAGTCACGCCCACAATGTTTGAGGTCGGGAAGTTCGTTCTGGCATTGCTCAACAGTAGCACGAGTATGCTAGCACAATATCTGGCGGGCCAATCAAATTGTCAGGGCGGGCTTTATAGGATGATGGACAGATGATCAACAGTAACGTAATAAACCACGTGACCAAAGCGCGCTTGGGTGACAACAACAATGGCTGCCGCTGGAGAGCTGAGGTGAGTAGATTCTGCTATTAGGTCTGTTCTAGAAGATATCGACAGCAAATTAATTTTAAAAGAGGAACAGAGAAACGCGATCAAGGCTCATCTTCTTATTCTAGGCGTGCAACTGCACGCTTTGATTTTTGTTGACAACAACTATGCCTCGCTTATCATACGTCACGCACTCCGTTGCTCTTATTGGTTGTAGGTCTATCCGATTGAGTGCAGAGGCATTTTTTTTCCTGGTTCGTTCGAAACACGCCCCATAATCACAGCTCTATGGAGCAGCATCAGACTCATATTCTGACTAGAATTGAGTAGGACTACGTCAGGCTAGCTTTTTATAGCCTAAACCTTATGAAATATTCCTAACTAAAAGCTCGGCTTTTAGTGAGTCAAAATACTTTCAAATTACATGTAAATCTAAACCTTGAAAGTTTCTCTGGAAGCAAATCAAACGCGGCGGCTCCATTGGCAGACAGAGGGTTTGTTGACATCACAGGTAACTTTATGAACATGGTTACAGACCATGGCAGTGTCATAACAGCCACATGAAGCAATGAAGGATCATTAGAAATCCCAATCTAAAGTACTGTAAATAGTGATGCACGATATTGGGATTTTGGCCGATATCCGATATGCCGATATTTTAAACTCATGTAGCCGATAACCGATATCGATACTGATGTTAAAGCTGGACAAAAATAAGTAGTCATTGAAAATAGCAGTTTTGTTATCCATTTCTGACACTTTGAAAAATAATATACTCAAATATATTTTCATATGCTGATATCAAATAGATTTTTAAAAACGCGGTATCGAACGATTTTACTTTCAAAATCTCATGAAATTTCATCGTTCTGTTACAAACTCTCGTGATATTTTGCAAATTCTTGTGAGATTTTGTTAGTAAAATAGATCGATACCGTGTCAATATATCAACATATAAAAATATGGCAAAATTTCGTGAATTTTCGGGGGAATTCGTAGCATAACGATGACATATAGCAATATTTCATTAGTAAAAGAGATTGATATGGTGTTTTTAAATGGCAATATATCAGCATATGAAGATATTGGGATATTTTAATGTATCAATGTTTTTTCCCTCGTCTTTAGAAGTTTTTAAGTCTGTAAAAAAAGAAGTTTTTGAGGAAGAGGAAGAAGTAGTTTTTTTTTTTTTTTTTTTTTTTTTTAGACTTTAGAAACTTAGAAGCTGATCAAATATCGGGTTAAATATCGGTGGGGTGGCCGATGTCCGATATTCAGTTTTAAGGCCGATACCGATAGGGGGCCGATTATATCGTGCATCCCTAACTGTAATCCTAATTTATGGATTTAAATATCATCCCAGCTGTTGGAGTGTTTTACAGTCCATATTCTTCCAGATCCTCCTGGATCCCAACTTTCAGGACTCTGCAGACTCAGATGCTTTTAGATGCTGTCTGCTCACAATGAGGTTTTTGATCACAACACTTCAGTTTCCCACAATATTTCCCATTATTCACATCCATCAAACACGTGTTTGATAGATCTGAGGCCTGAAATGAGGACATTTATTCTGACCTGTTTGTTTACGTTTGTTTTATCTGATTTATGTCCAATTATTTATTTTCTTTACAGCCCTTCGATCAGCTGTGGTTCATTTTAATTGCTTAACAAATTTTAACTTTCTAAGGTCCACATAGTGTGAGCAGTGTTGCTGTAATCTGTTGCTGCTGTAACTCCACTATTTCCCCACAGTGGGCCAACAAAGGGAGTTTCTATTCTATGTAGTGTATATCTGCTGTTTATTTAGTAATGTCTTCCAAAGCTCTGATGCCTTCATGAAGTTCTCCCTCCAGCCCTGATGTCAACAGTCTGTTGATTTAAACTAAACTCCGCTGCAGTGCTGAGGCATCCTTCTACTGTTCTGCTTAAAGCAGCAGGTTAGGGCAGCAGGATGACCTCCCCAAGATGGCGCCCGTAATGTCTGCGCAGAGACAGTCAATGCGGGGTCTACTCTAATATTATCTCTATGGTAGAGACGGCTTTCTGTGATTGCAGTGAACTCGGAGCGAAGAAGAGGTTTAACCGGAGAAAATGACTAACTTGACCGCAGTCATTAAAACCCAATGCTGGAAGTGAGCGAGCTGACCGCAGTAAGATGGCCGCCGACCAGAAGTTATCTTTAGCTTAGCGTGTTGATCTCCTCTAAGCAGTTTTCCAATCAGATGAGGCTAAAATCCACAGTGTGCATCATCAGGGAATCGTTTCTATCAGGTGTTTCCTACCTATCCGGTGTGAGATGATCTGGGGGATCCTGGTGAAATCCAGCAGTAGATGTTGATCGTCCATCTTTTCCTCCGAATTGACCAAACTCCCTTTAAACTCCGTGAATGTTTCTTCAGCAGGAGTTAACTGCTCGGTGATAAACTCTCCTTGAAGCTGGACTGAAGACATTCTCACTTCAAACACTCCCAGATTATCAGCCTCTCTACAATGACTCCACACACAAGCTAAGCTAATGCTGCTAATGCTACCCGATCCCGACCAGCAGCATAAGCAGCTACATCTACTTCCGGGTCATCCTCGATATTGTTTTTATTATTTTAAATACGTTTTTTTTCCTCACCCAGAACACTAAGCATACTAAACTATAACGTGTTAAGGTTAATCAAGTATTTTCTGAAAATCAAAAAAACCTTAAAATCCTTTCTTTATAATCCCTGTTTTTTTATTATTATTATTTTTTTTTTTTTACCTAAAGTCAACAATAAAACATACAAACAATATGCCTGGGGATATGTTACAAATAATAAATATAATCAGCAGAAAAGACAAACAGATTGTCAAATATGTGTGCTGGGCTGCTGGCCAATGGGGGTCGCCGTCCGCACGTGGCGGCCATCTTGCTACAGGCAGCTCGCTCATTCGTAACATTGTGTTTTAAAGGCGCATGTACTTAAATAACCATAACTTCCTGAATTGTCTAATTGTTTGGTTTGTTAAACAAAAGGCAGACATGTAGTTATGATACTGCACACTTATGAATAATTATAACCATGGTATTTCATATGAAAAGAACATTGAATAGAACATACAGGTGCAATAAATAAACACATGCACAAGGTATTTATGTTAAATCAATATATGCTAATAAAACTCAGTGTACTGAATGGCAACATGATATATAGATATATCTATAGATATCTATATAGATATAGATACCTATATATATAAATATGTGTATATATATAAATAAAATTATGTATATATATATAAATATGTATATATATATAAATAAAATTATGTATATATATATAAATATGTATATATACATATTTATATATATATTTTAATATGTATATATATATATATATATATATATAAAAATATATATATATATATATATATATATATATATATATATATATATATATATATATATATATATATATATATATATATATATATATATATATATAAATAAACACTTTTATTTGGGTGTGATTAATTATTTCACAGTCCTAATTTATTTATATTTACATACATACTTTTATAATATGAATATTATTGTTATAATAAAATATGGAATACTGACAGAAAAGGCTTATTGTGTGGCAACCTCTTGGTGTAGCAGCATAATCCAGGTTTCAAATTAAAGGTAACACTTTGAAGTTTCATGTAGACTATTCGGATTATATATCAGGGGTAATTACACAAAAGTTCCTATTTTTAAACCATTATAAAAGTGACATTTATTTGCTACTAAAATTGGTACAATAGTCCCCTTCACAAGTATATATAGATGTAGCATGTTGAAATCCCCACCTACACTACTGTGATGGTATACACATGGAAGACAGAGATTTAAAAAATGACCCAAAAAACATAGCTTGGCTAATGCCCTTTGAAAAGGAAGGTTTTATTGAGCTTCTATATAATGTACAAGAGAGCGTTGTCCACAAGGCCATCAAAGCGGACAGGAAGGTAGCTGTGGTCATGTACTAGTGCAGGAATGTCAGCAAACGGGGATGGAAGATCTTCTCCTCCTGCTTACACATTATATGACCTGCAGAAACAAAAACAAAAGTGACCAACAACAATTCACAGTGTATAAGATTGGTATATCAATATGTGATTAAATTTCAATGATACACATGCCCTTTGAAGATGAGCTGGAAAGTTGAAAATGTTTGGCACAACACCATCTTTAAGTTGTCCAAATGAAACTATTACAAACTTATAAAAGCTTTGAGTCAACAACAATCTTGTAATACTATTATGTCATAGCAAAAGTCTGGCATCTTCCTTTTAATAAACCCAGCAAATTCCTGTTACATAATGTAAGATGTGTTGACAAACCAAATCGATTGGAAATCATGTTAAATTCTGCCTCTTCCACTGATGTAAAGTTGCTGGTTAACGTTAGCAGCTAGCTAAACTGTAACGTTAGCTGCTAACTTACTAACGTTAGGTCTCACTTTGCAGCTTCTTGTTATTAGCCAGCTAACGTTAGGCTAATAATGAAAATACAACAACACTCAGATTATTGTTATTAGCCAACTAATAACTACAACCACATACACAAAGATTGTAATTTACACCAAAGATTAATTGTCATACAATCGTTATTGGTGTCAGTAAAACCTATATAATTGACTAATAGTCTCAGCCTTGATAACTTGAGCAAGTTGCCGTGATGCACAACTATGCTGCGCGATTAAGTCATTTTTCGACAAGAAAATCTGCTATTTCGACATGTTCAAGCATCTAGAATTATAGCCACGTTCATAATGTTTGTAAGAAACCAAACTGTTTGTAAATCCGTCAAGAATTCAGTGAGATAAGAGTATTTGTGTTCGTGCTGATCACTCACCTTACATTAGGTACCACAGAGCACAACAGAAAGCCTGCCTGAGGTAAGATGGCCGCCGGTGATGACGTTTGAGACTCCGCCGTAAGACATCTAGCCTTTATTATGGATATCTATGGTCATGTGTGCATATGTATACAAATATACATTCTACAAATAAACATTTCTACAACATTAAGTTGCCCAGAATTTTTGGTTGGGAACAGATTGCTGTGTTTTTTTGTGCCTTCTGGTGTGAACAGAGTTGAATAGTATGAAAATATTGCTTAACTTCAATTAAATAAACATTAAAGTCTGTCTTTTTTTTTCTTTTTTTTTTAGAAATTTAAATTTATGCAAGTGAAATTTGGCCAAGATAATTAAAAGATTGATAAGGAAAGATTTGGGAAACATTTTACTATTGCCATAATCTCACATTTTTTGAGATTCAAATGCAGACAGAAGCTTTTCAGAAATAATTTAATACTTGGATTGCTAATGAAACTTGATTCTTGTCCTTTAAGAACAGGGTAGTTTCATCAGCTAGTTGTGTTGGGATAACTTATTTTTCAGCAACTATTAACCCTTTTAAAGGACTGGCTTTATTGTGATCTGCCAGAAGCTGAGCTACCAAAAGAAACAGGTAGGGAGAGACAGGACACCCTTGTCTGATTCCTCTACCGATGTTAAATCTGGGAGAGGAACCATTCCTTATTTTAATACAGCTGTTGTTGTTTTGATACAGAGTTTTAATAATTGTTATAAAATGCCTACCAGGTCTGCTGGGAACGACTGGCAGAGTCCCCAGTGAGAAGGAGCTTTAATTCTCATCTCTGGCAGAGCTTTGAACACGTTCCGAGGGAGGTGGGGGGCATTGAGTCTGAGTGGACCATGTTCCCTGCCTCTATTGTTGAGGCAGCTAGTCGGAGCTGTGGCTGCAAGGTTGTCGGTGCATGTCGCAGCAGCAACCTTGAACACGCTGGTTGACACCAGCAGTGAGGGAAGCAGTCAAGCTGAAGAAGGAGTCCTATCAGGCTTTATTGACCTGTGGGATTCTAGAAGCAGCTGACATGTACCGGCAGTCAAAGCGGCGGGTGGCTCGGCTGGTCGCTGAGGCAAATACTCAGGCTTTGGAAGAGTTTGGAGAGGCCATGGAGAAAGACTTCTGATTCGAAGCGATTCTGGTCCATGATCCGGGATCTCAGGAGGGGGAAGCAGTGCAGTACCAACACTATTTATAGTGGGGCTGGTGTGCTGCTGACCTCAACTCGGGACGTTGTATGTCGGTGGGATGAGTACTTCGAAGACCTCCTTAATCCCACCAACACGTCTTCCATTGAGGAAGCAGAGCCTGGGGGCTCCGGCTTGGGTCCTCCCATCTCTGTTGCTGAAGTCACTGAGGTGGGTAAAAAGCTCCTCGGTGGCAAGGCCCAATGGGTGGATGAGATTCGCCCTGAGTACCTTAGGGCTCTGGATGTTGTGGGGCTGTGTTGGCTAAAGCGGCTCTGCAACATTGTGTGGACATAAGGGGCAGTTCCCCTGGATTGGCAGACCGGGGTGGTGGTCCCTCTATTTAAAAAAGGGGACCGGAGGGTGTGTTCCAACTACAGAGGAATCACACTCTTAAGCCTCACTGGTAAGGTCGATTCCGGGGTTCTGGGAAGGAGGGTCCATCGGATAGATTCAGGAGGAGCAGTGGGGTTTTTGTCCTGGCCGTGGAACACTGGATCAGCTCTATACCCTCAGCAGGATTCAGGAGGGTGCATGGGAGTTTGCCAAACTAGTCTACATGCGTTTTGTGGATCTGGAGAAAGCAGTCAACCGTGTCCCTTGGGGGGTCCTGCGGGGGGTTCTCCGGGAGTATGGAGTACCAGGCCCTTTAATAGGGGCTGTTAGGTCTCTGTATGACTGGTGTCGGAGCCTGGTCCGCATTGCTGGCAGTAAGTTGGACTCATTTCTGGTGAGGGTTGGACTCCGCCAAGGTTGCCCTTTGTCACCGTTTCTGTTCATAACTTCTATGGACAGAATTTCTAGGCCAAGCCAAGGTGTTGAGGGGATCTGTTTTGGTGTCCTTAGGATTGCATCTCTGTTATTTGCAGATGATGTGGTTCTGTTGGCTTCATCAGGGCGTGATGCACAGCTCTCACTCAGCGGTTCGGAGCCGAGTGTGAAGCGGCCGGGATCAGTGTCAAATTCGAGACCATGGTCTTGAGCCGGAAAAGGGTAGAGTGCTTTCTCCGGGTTGGGGAGGATGTACTGCCCCTAGTGGAGGAGATTAAGTATCTTGGGGTCTTGTTCATGAATGAGGGGAAGATGGAGCAGGAGATTGATAGGCGGATTGGTGCGGCGTCTGCTGTGAAGCGTGCACTGTGCCGATCTGTTGTGGTGAAGAGAGAGCAAAATTCTCGATTTACCCGTCGATCTACGTTCCAACCCTCATCTATGATCATGAGCTTTGGGTCATGACTGAAAGAATGAGATCCCAGATGCAA